TTTTTTGGTTTTAATTGAACATTTTATATCATTTAATTTTATATATTCTCTTAGCATATCAATTAGAATTCTTTAAAATTTTTAGTGGTTTCCAAAGAGTTTGAAATTTAGGTTAAAACTAATCTAAAGTAGCTTTCAGATGAGTTTGGGTGCATGCAGGGTGGTATGGCCAAAGATCTAAATTTACTTTCAAATGACACTATGCTACTTCATAGGTAGTATAGGTACTTTTGCAAAATATCCCCAATTTCTCCCTCTTATCCTTTAGGACACTGCTGCCATTCACCTCACCTAGGATATGCTGTAGTCATCTAATGCATTGGTTACTCTTATTGTTTTGAGAAAACTGTCAGAAATTAAGAATAAAATATTTTACCTTTATTTATTCCTTCTCTGACATGCTTCCTTTCTTTATGTAGTTCTGAGTTTCTAACCTATACCATTTACTTTTTCTCTGAAGAACTTCTTTTATCATTTTTTTGCAAGGTAGATCTGCAAATTCCCCCAGTTACAGTGATTTTTATTTCCTCAGTTATTACCTGACAAAGTATTTCTCCTTCACTTTTAAATGATAATTTTTCTGGGTACATAATTCTAGATTGGTGGGGTTTTTACAAATCCTTTCAACATCTCAAACATTATCGCTCTACATTTTTCTTGCTTATATGATTTTCCCAGAGAATTCTGGTGTAATTCTTATCTTTGTTCCTATTCAAGGTGTTTTTTTCTCTTTGTGTTTGATTTTCTATAGTTTCAACATGCCATGATTATATACATATATATGATATTTCTTCTGATTGGTGTTCTCTGAGCTTTAAATCTGTGGTCTAGTTTCTGTCATTAATTTTTGGAAATTCTGAATTAATATTATTTTAAATATTTCTTACATTTATTACTTTTCTTCTCCTTCTGGTATTCTCATTATGTGTGTTTTAATACTCTTTGTAATTAGCCCACAGTTTTTGGATATTCCATTTTTCCCCCCATTCTTTTTTATTTTTGCATTTCAGTTTGGGAAGTTTCTATTTACTTATCTCACAGTTCACTGATTTTTTCCTTGACTGTGTCCAGTCTACTAATAAGCCTATCAAAGGCATTTTTCACTTTGTTACAGTGCTTTTTATTTCTAGTATTTTCTTTTGATTCTTTTTTGGAGCTTCTTTATCTCTGTTCACATTACTCATCTGTTCTTGACTGTTATTCAATTTTTTCCCCATTAGAGCCCCTAGCATATTATATACAGTGATTTTATATTTATGCTTTGATAATTCCAAAATCAGCGCCAAGTCTAAGTGTGATGCTTCTGTTTGCTTTTTCTCTTCAGACTATTTTCTTTGTTTTGTTTTTGCATGATTTGCAATTTTATTTTCAAAACTAGATATAATTTACTAGGTGATAGAAACTAAAGTAAATAGGCCTTTAGCATGAGGTTTTATGTTTATCTGGCCAGGAGTTAAGCTGTGTTAGATGATTGCTTTAAGCAATCAGGACTCTAGACTCCCTGTTTTTGTGTTCTTTGTTGTCTTGGGATTTCCCTAGAGACTCCTTCTTAAGTAGACTCTTAGCTGACCATATGCAGAAGATTAAAACAAGACCCCTACCTATCACCATACACAAAAAATCAACTCTAAATGGATCAAAGACCTAAATGTAAAACCTCAAATTATAAGAACCTTAGAAAATGCATGAGACACCCTTATGGAAATTGGAACTGGCAATCAATTCCTGATCAAAACCCCAAATGCCCATGCCATAAGAGATAAGATAGACAAGTGTGACCTCATCAAACTGACAAGCTTCTGCAAAACTAAAGAAACCATCAAGAGAGCGAGGAGATAGCCCACAGAATGGGAAAAAATATTGCCAACTGTATATCTCACAAAGGCCTAACATCCAGGGTCTACAAGGAATTCAAATATGCCAAAAAGAAAAAAACAAACAGCCCATTGCAAAGTGCCAAAAGATATGAACAGACACTTCTCAAAAGAAGACATACAAGTAGCCAACAGATACATGAAAAAATGGTCAGCCTCACTAATCATCAAAGAAATGCAAATCAAAACCATACTGGGATACTACCTAACTCCAGTCAGGGTGGCCATCACCAATAACAAAAAACAACAGATGCTGGAAAGGATGCAGGGAAAAGGGAACACTTCTACACTGTTGAAGGGAGTGCAAACTAGTACAACTTCTCTGGAAAACAGTTTGGTTATTCCTAAAATATCTAAAATTCGGCCTTCCATACAACCCTGCAATCCCCCTTCTGGGATTATACCCAGAGAACTCAAATCACTCTATGAAAAAGATACCTGTACACACATGTTTATTGAAGCATTATTCACAATAGCAAAAACATGGAACCAACTGTGCTGCCCATTGAAAAAGGATTGGATTTTTAAAATGTGGTACATAAACACGACGGAATATTACACAGTCATAAAGAAGGACAAAATTATGAACTTCCCAGCACCTTGGATGGATTTAGAGTCTATAATACTGAGTGATATATAACAGAAAAAAAGAACTATGTACCACATTCGCTCACTCATAAACGGACCTTGAACAATTGTTATAATACTCTAAGAAAGGGATTGGCAATAGTGAGAAATTGCCAGGGGAGAGAAGAAGAGGGGATGCACTTCATCAGTAAAGGTACCTGCATAATAACCATTTGCATACCTGACTCTGAATTGTATCCTGCATTTTAAAAATAAAAAATAAATAAATAAAAAGGAACCTTAGGTTTATAGTTATTTTCCACTGAATCTTCTGCCTGTTGATGTGGTGGTAAAGTATGAGGAAAAGGGAAGCTCTTTATAGTCCAAAAAGAAGGAATTAGTTTTTTTTAATAAGCCTGTGTCCCTGAGCAGTGACCTTCACATGTGCTTCTCAGTCCCCCCCCCCCAACTCCCTGCCTTTGGGTGAGACAAGAAAGTTAGAGGAGGATGCATTTGGGTATTTTCCCCCTTCCATACTTGCTAAGTTTTGGTAAAGTAGTTTCCTTTGAGGAAAAGGCTTTGTTAATAACAACGAAATTCTGAGTATATTTCTTTTTTTTTTTCCTCACCAGAAGGACCTTTAATTTCCATATTTCTACCAAATCACTTCGAGGCAATCTAGGCTTTTCCTAACATGCAAATCAGCACTCTTTTTGTCCAGTTTCAAAGCCACTCCCACACTTTTAGGTATTTGTTATAACAGCATCCCACTTCCTGTTACCAAAATCTGTCTTCATCTATTAGGGTTGCCATGATAAAATACACAGACTAGGTTGCTTATATAACAGAAATAGATTTTCTCACAGTTCTGGGGGCTGAAAGTCCAAGATTAAGTTGTTATCAGAATTGGTTTCTTCCGAGGTCTTTCTCCATGATTTGCACATGGTTACATTTTCTCTCTCTGTTTTTACATGGTCTTCCCTCTGTGTGTGCACATTCCTGATTTATTTTTGTGTGTCTAAATTTCCTTTTCTTATAATGACACCAGTCAGACTGAATTAGGGCCCACTCTCACAGCCTTTTTTTTTTAAGTTTTAAAGATGTGGGGTACAATTCAGGATTAGGTGTACAAGTGGTCATTGTACAGATAAAGTCTGGGCCTCCCTTTGACCCCCACTTTGCCTGGTATGAGATCAGGCACACTTATTGATGTTATGTGCCACCCCCTCCCCTGGCAGTTTCTGGCTACTGCCAATCCCTTTCTTATAGTATTATGGTAAATATTCAGGGTCTGCTTACGAATGAGAACATGTGGTACTCTGTTCTTTGTTTCTGTGATAAATCACTGAGTATTATAGATTTTAAATCCATCCAAGTTGCTGGGAAGTCCATAATTTTGTCCTTCTTCATGGCTGCAATATATTTCAAAATGGTTACTTTTTCCTTCTCCTACTAGAAGTGGAAGAGGATTTTTATCTGATCTTCACTTTGATAACTTTATGGGTCTCCAGGAGGTAAAACTCATGAAGGTATGAACTCTTCCTCCCACACTCCCTGCCTGAGCCTCTGAGGAGTTTTTAACTCAAACTAGTCCAAGCTTAGCTTCCAGCAATTAGTCAATTACGGCTTAAGTTTACCTGCCCATTAGTTACTTGCTGCAGTGGCTTCTGTTTCCAATAAGCTGTGATTCTCTGTATTCATGTGTCTGTCTATTTGGGGGGCAGCAATTTGTCCTGTGTTGTCAATTCTCTGGTGGATCTAAGAAGAGTTGTGGATTTTCAGTTTGCTCAGCTTTTTTATTGTTGTGAGGATGGGAGTGATGACTTCAAACTTTTTACAAATGGAGTAGAAAACAGAAGTCTAGTTAACTTTTGTATAAGGCGTGAATATCCAGTTGTTCCAGCACCATGTGCTGAAAGACTATCTTTTCTCCATTGCATTGCTTTCGCATCTTTTTTAAAAATGGCCTTCTGAGGGTCCTTATATGACCAGTCTTCAATAAAATTCTTGGGCTCCCCACCCATCATGAGCTTCCTTGGTAGACAATTCTTTACATGTGTAGACAGAACCTGTTGCTGGGGAAATTAAGTGCATCTTTTGTGACTCAACTGGGAGAGGACTCTTGAAAACTTGCACCTGATTTTCTTCAGACTTTACCCTTAGTGCCTTTCTCCTTTTGCCGATTTTGCTCTGTATCTGCTTACTTTAATATATCATAGCTGTAGTCAACACATATATTGAGCCCTGTGCATCCCTCTAAGTGAATCGTCAAACTGAGTGTGGTCATGGAGACCTTGATCACATCCATTTTACTATCGATGGACATCTGGGTAGTTTCCAAGGGGTTTGGTTATTGTGCCAGACACAAAAGACTATGTGCTAAATGTTGTATGCTTTGAAATACACACACACATGCGCACACACACACACACACATACACCCACACACTCACTTGGTAGCTTACCTTAATGGTGTCTTTTGAAAAAGACAAATTTTTAGTTTTAATATGGTCCAATTTTTTCCTTTACGGTCAGCACTTTTTATGTCTCAATAAGAAATCTTTGCCTAAGATCATGGAGTCCTTTTCATATATTATGCTCTAGAAACTTTCATGTTTAAATATAGCATTCTCTTGGAACCTGTATGGTGCAAGGTAGGAGTCAATATTTTTCCATATAGATATTTGATTGACCCTGTAACATTAAAAAGACCATCGTCTGCAAAACCATATGGTTGCAACTCAGTCATATATCAAGTATTTTGCAAATAAGCATTTACCCTATTTTGTTCCATTGTTCTATTTGTCTATTCACTCACCGGTATTGTCATCATATTTTATCTATTGTAGTTTTATAATAAGTATTGATAGCTGATAGTGAGTTCTCCAGCTTTCTTCTATGTAAGATTGTCTTAGTTATTGTTAGCTCTTTGCATTTGCATATTAAGTAACTTGCCAACTTCCATGAAAAATACCTAATAAAATGTTTAGAGCATATGCATTAAATCTAGAAACCAGTTTGAGAGGATCTGACATCTTTATAATATTAAGTGTTTAAAGTCATAAACATGGTTCATCCCTCCACTTAGTCAAATTTTTGATTCTTCAAGTACTTTTATAGCTTTCTGTGTACAGGTCTCGCACATCATAGATTTATTCCTTACTTATGTAATTTTAATTGTATCATTTAAATTTTAGTGTTATTTTGTTTGTTGTCAAAATATACAAATATAAGCAAACTTTGTATATTGACCTGTCCATCACCTTGCTAGATTTTCTTATTAATGTAAATGGGTTTTCTGTAACTTTTTTTCTGAATTTTCTATGTATGCAATCATGTTATCCATAAAAAATAGCAATTTGATTTCTCACTGTTTCTAATTATTTAGTTTTTATTTATTCCTCTTTCCTTATTGTACTTATAACGATCTCTGTTAAATGTTGAATGGAAGTGGTATCTCTAAATATCTTTGTTCTATTTTGATTTGTAGGGAAATCTTTCAATATTTTACATTAGGCGTAATATTTATTTCATAATTTCCCCCCCCAAACTACTCTTTTAGTTTAAGGAAGTACTCTTTGAGTCCTATGGTAAGAATTTTTTCCTGTTTTTAAAAATCACAAATAAACATTGAATTTTATAAAATGCTTTTTTATATCTATTTAGATGATTAAATAATTTTCCTTTTATTTTCTTAGTGTAGGGAATTACATTGACTAATTTTTTGAACATTAAGTCAACTTTGAATTCCTAGAACAAATTCAATTTGGATTTGTTTTATTATAACTTGATTAGCTCCTGGATTTGATTTGCTAATGCTTTATTTAGTAATTTTGCACTATGTTATGAGAGAGGTTGGTCTGTAAGTTTCCTTTTTTGTTGTTGTTGATTTTGATATCAAGGTTAGCTGGTCTCATAAAATGAGTTGAAAAGTGTGCCCTCTTTTTCTGTATCTGGATGAGAATGAGTAAGATCAGTATCATTTACTTCTTAAATGTTTAGCAGGCTTTCATGAGAAGAATTTGGACATGGAATTTTATTTATGGGAAAGAATTAAATTACAGTTTCAATTTCTCCAGAACATATATGACAATTCAGATTTCTGATTGCATCTTATGTTAGTTTGGTAAATCATGCTTTTCTAGGATTTTGTCTATTTTATTTACATTTCAAAATTTATTGGTATGACATTTTTATAATATCCTTCGTTCTTCATGATATTAACAATTTATATATTCTCTTTTTTGGTTCATTTTGTCAGTGATTATTTATTTTATTAGTTTTTTTTCTATTTCATAAATTTCTAGCTGGCCACATTGGCTTACACCTGTAATTCCAGCACTCTGGGAAGTGGAAGCAAGAAGATTGCCTGAGTCCAGGGGTTTGAGACCAGCCTGGGTAACTTGGTGAGTCCTCGTCTCTACAATTAAAAAAAAAAAAAAACTAGCTGGGTGTGGTAGAGCATGCCTGTAATTACAGCTACCTTGGAAGACTGAGGCAGAAGGATCGCCTGAACTCAGTAGGTCGAGAAGATACTTAGGCAATTGTTTTTCAGCTTTTCTTCTTTTCTAATATATACATTTAAAACTTTAACTATCCCTCTTAATATATCCCACACATTTTGACATATCCTACTTTCATTGTTAACCAGTTCAAGATATTTTCTAAATTTTATTGTGATTTCTTTGATCTGTGGATTGTTTAGAATTTTATTGTTTACTGTATTGTTGATTTTTTAGTTATCTCTGTTTTTCTTTTCTTTCTTTTTTTAAAAATCCTTAATTCTCTCCGGGTCAGAGAATGCATTCTCTGTGATTTCAATCATCTAAAATTTTCAGAGGCTCTTTATGGCTCAAGTCATTTTTAGCAAATGTTCTAAGTGTACTTGAAAATAACAGATATTGGGGTTGTTGAGTGTAGTATTTCTATATGTCACTGTGCCAACAAATTATTAATCATGTCTACCAAGTTTTTTATACAGTTATTGATATTTTGCCTTCTTGTTCTTTGAGTTACTAAGAGAGATGTGTTAAATTCCCTATGATTATGAGTCTGTATACATCCTCTTTTAACTATCTTAATATTTTATTTACACATTTAAAACTATATTTTGAAGTACATTCAAATTTAGAATTGTTATCACTTTCTGATAACAGTTATTTTTATTATTAAATTCTTTTATTTATTTTTAGTAATTCTTTCTCAATTGAAATCTACTTGTCAGATTATTATGCACTTCCTTTCATTTGGTTGATATTTAAAGGATGTACCACTTTCTATTATTTAACTTGCAAACGTTTTGGTTTCTTACACCTAACTATATATTAAGTTGTCTTTTTTGTAAGCAGCATGTTATTGCTATTGTTTAAAAAATCTTGTCTGACAATCACTGTGTTTTAATTGGAGTATTTATTTTAATTATTTTTAATGTAATTTCAAATCTATTTGAATTTAAATACAGCATTTACTATTTGTTTTCTATTTGTTATGGTTTTAACTTATCATTTTCTTCTCCTTTCCTTATTTATTTTGGATTAATTTTAAAATTATTATTTCTATCTCCTTCTCTATCTTACTGTTTGTGATTGGCCTAGAGAGTATACCATACATCAAATAAACTGAATAAGTTAAATAGAGACCTTATTAGGGGTCTTTCAAAAATTATAATTTTTACCACTTTCTGAGCAGTTCTAGAACTTTACAACATTTTAACTCCATTTACTCCTATACAACCTTTTATACTATTCATGCATCTTAATTTTGTATATATTTAAAACCCCTAAAGACATTGTTATGGACTGAATTGTGTCCCTCCACAAATAATTTACAAGTTGAAGTACTAACCCTCAGTACCATCGAATATGACTATATTTAGGAAAGTATGAGGCAAAATGAGGTCATTAAGATGGGCCCTAATCTGACTAGTGTCCTTATTAGAAGATATTAGGACAGAGACACACACAGACGGAAGACCATATGAGGACACATTCAAGACGAGGAAAGGGCCTCAGGAAAAACCAGTTCTACCCATACCTTGATATTGGAATTCTGGCCTCCAGAACTGTGAGACAATACATTTCTTTTGTAAACCCCCAGTTTGTGGTACTTTCTTATGGCATCCAGAGAAGACTAATACAGACATTATTATTGTTATTGTTTTAGACAGTTATGTCCTTGTACTTACCCTGTTCTTTATTCTTCATACATCACTATGCTCCCTTCAGGATGATTTTCCTATTTATGGTCAACTTCTTTAGAATTTCTTTTTGAATTGGTATGCTTATATCAAATTGTTCCTGCTTTGTTTGTCTGACAACACCTTTACTTTGCTTTTAATTTAGTAATTGGGAAAATGTTAATGAATACAATAATATTATTTTTGAACAATCACTTGTGCCAAGCACTGTGTTTAGTATTCCATGTAATTATTTTAATTAAATATTTATAGTAGTCCAATTAAGTGGACATTGCCATCTCCACTTTACAATTAATAAATCTGAGATTTTTCAAGGTAGCCTAGCTAGTAAATAACAAAAGTTTACCATTATTTTGAAGGATATTTCCCCTGGGCATTGGATTCTAGGTTGACAGTTATTTTCTTTTTAGCGTTTAAGAAGGTCATCCCATTGCCTCTGGTTTTTATTGATCTATTGAAAAGATAGCTTTATCCACACATTTTGTGTATGTATACGTGAACATGAAAGATACACAGGAATGTGTAATAATTATTGCTTCTGAGGAGGTTAAGGAAGAATGAGCTTCTAGAGACCCCACATTTCTTGACACATGACCTTGATCCCATTCATCTTGAAAGCCAGAATAGTCAGTTGAGTCTTTCTCACAATGCCATCTTTCTGGTTCTGATACTTCTGTCTCCCTCTTCGCTACTCAAGGACCCTCGTAATCACTCAGTAAGTTCGGGATAACATCTTTGTTTGCTGATCTGCAACCTCAATCCTATCTGCATGCTTAATTCTTCCTTCTTGCCCTGTAACATAACACAGTCACAGGTTCTGGGGATTTGGACATAGACCACTTTGAGAGTATGGCAGGGAGATGCATAACACAAGTGAAACATAAAAGGTAGAACTTCATATTGGGGGAGTGGAACTGCAAAATACTTTAGCAGGCTAGGTTCTTCAAGGTGAACCTAGAAGCACAGCCTGTTTCTTTGGAGGCCACAAATCATGGGTTGACTAGGGCAATCTCAATTTCATATATCCTTTGCCCATTGTTTCCCCAAATATACTCAGATTATGTGTCCTGGTTCTGATGCCCCAAATCCCAGTTACAAAAAAGGGACACTATGGATGCTAATTATAGGTGGCTCCTCCCCAAGAATGACTGACTGCATTCCCCTTTTCATCAAATTGAAAGTTACCTGCCAGAGTGGGTAATACCTTTGTTTTACTATGAGCCATAAGAGGCCACAATCTTGTCTAAGTAAATATGTACTGTGTGTGCTGACAGCACTTCTTCACTTTTTTGGTCTCATCAAGAAATGTACAAAGGCTTTCTGCCCATTCAAAGAAGGCCTTTGTTGGCAACCAGCGACTCTCAGTAGTAAATAATACCAGCCACAATTAACCATGAGTCTGGGACTGTGCCAACAACTTTACATATAAGCTGTACTCGACTGT